GTCACATGTTACGGAGAGTAGTTTCTCAGGAGACTTTCTGAGTCTCCCGCACTGTACTCTCTGTGGCCTCTGAGTACAGTCACTACTGGGCATCCAGGAAGTCAACTCCTCCTCCAGGCTTGTTCAGAAATAGTTCATAATGGAAACATGCACTTGTTCATTGACAAATAAAAACACACTGAGGCTTTGGCTGTGTTGACAGGCTAGAAAGCCATTGAGCATATCCACGGGTATCTGCACGGACAGTGAAATACACTGTCCCACAGTCTCTCCACCCACTCAGAGAAAGCCACAGTAATTGTTGTATGCAAGCTCTGCTGTACAAAGGGTACTTGCCAATGTAGTGTGCTCCCTAGGCCCTTCACAATCTGACCTCAACTCATTTTCTAGGCTCTTCTTTGGAGGTAACCGTCTCATGTTTCTTGCTGTTCCCAAAGCCTACCATAATCTTTCCTCTCTTCTTCATATTGCTTTATCTGGGGTGCCTTCCTCTCCCTTCTGGGTGGCCTTCAATATGAAGATCTGGCTGCCTTCAAACTCACAGAGACCCATCTGTCTCTGCCTCTGCCTTTGCCTCTGCTGAGATTAAAGGCATGTGCCACCGCACCAAGTTGGGGATCCCTTTTTAAACTCCTTCACTGGGTGAATCCTACATACCCTTTAAAACCCAACCCAAGGGGCTCAAGGGGTACCTCAGTGATTAAGAGCATGGACTGCTCTTCCAGAGTATTGGAGTTTGACTCCCAGTGCCCACATGGCAGCTTACAATTGGTTATAACTCCAGTCCTGGGGGATCTGGCACCCTCTTCTGGCCTCCACAAACGCTACACATGAATGGTACACATGATATATACACATGCAGGCAAACATTCATATATATATGAATATATATATCATATATATATATATATATAATAAAATTTAAAAATCCCAACCCAAATGGTGCCTGGTAGAGATCTCCCCAATCCTGTGCAGTCATAGGTCAACACCCCACTCTCTTGTGAGGTCACAGCTGCCCAGCTTTTCACAGAGCACTACTTCAAGCATCCATCCTTCCCCCACAAGATAGTCAACATCATGTAATCATCCTGTCAAGCTTGACTATGAATAACTGATTTTATTTTATTTAGTGAACTGGTGAAAGAAAACAGATACAAATGAAGGAATGAATCAATCAATGAATGAGTGAATGAGTGAACGCTGGTATTTAAAATAAAAGTATCATCTTGTCAAGACTTTCCAATGACTTGGTGAAGAGACACAGAATCGTAAAGTCGTATTTTCAAAATGTGGGCAAGAAGAAGTCAATACTCTGTCCAAAGTAACAATTCCCCTAGAAAAGTTTAAAAACAAAGTATGCTTTTTTTTTCTTTTCACCCCTTTACTTCCAAATGGAGATGATTACCAAAGTGAGATTTGAAAACCTTAGTAGGTACCTTTATTGTTGTTGTTATTGTTGTTGTTATTGTTTTGAGACAGGGTTTCTCTGTAGCTTTGGCACCTGTCCCGGAACTAGTTCTAGTAGATCAGGTTGGCCTTGAACTCACAGAAATTCACCTGCTTCTGCCTCCTGAGTGCTGCTGTTAAAGGCATGCACTACCACCACCCGGTGTCTTAATTATTTTTAACTTAACAAAAAGCTACAATCCAAGACCGAAAAATCCTGTATCCAAGAGCTGCAACTGTTCTTTGAAGTTCCATAATTAGAAGGTTCATAGACCTCTGCTAAGCAGAAGTAATAGAACATTTTAAATTTTTTAATTTTTTTAAACTTTTTAGATTTTTGTGTGTAGGTGTTTATCTGCATGCATGTCTCTAAACCACATGTGTGCAGTGCCTGCAGAAGCCAGAAGAGGGCCCCTGGACTTGAATTACAGATAGTTGTGAGCAGCCATGTGGGTTCTGGGAGTTGAACCTATGTCTCCCAGGAGAGTAACAAGTGCTCTTAACTGCTGAGCCATCTCTCCAGTTCCTAAAACAACTGTTAGGGGGCATTTGCTTGTTTATTGCTATTTTCGGTTTGTTTGTTTGTTTTTTGATACAGGGTGTCTCTACATAATCCTGGCTGTCCTGGAGCTCACTTTGTAGACCAGGCTGGCCTTGAACTCACAGAGCTCCCCATCCCTCTACCTGCCAAGGGTTGGGATTAAAGGTGTGTGCCACCATGCCTGGTACCTAAAACAACTTTTAAATCCAGGCAGGGTGAATTTATATCCAATGGCCCAAGAGAAAAAGGGAGTTTCTTGGTCTTTGTCATTTTCTACAGAAAACTGCCTCTTGCCAGGTGCATCCTTCCCCATGCATTCTGTAACAGGACACTTAGGGGGTAAAGAAAAATGGTAAAAACTTGCCCCATTTGTTTTACTCATATTTAATAACCACAATTCAGACAAATGTCACTCTAATCCCTGGCATGTTCTTTCTTGGTTCTGCGAATGAAGAGCCTAAAGCTCAGCGAAGCTAGTAACTCAACCAATGCCACAGAGCACACAGATGCCAGAGGCAGCTCTGAAGTCAGGTGCCCCCTCAGCCGCCTCTCTATGCCATGCCTCCCTGCATTCATTAAGTGTTTTTCCAGCATATGGAATTTCTGGATAGCTCATTAGATCTTGGTCTTTTTGGCATTTTATATTCATATAACCCTCTCTTCTAAAAATACTGAAGTGATTATTTAGAATTATGATTTATTCATCCTATTCAGGTGTCATGATTTCACTCTGAAATGCCCCCCATTGCCTGATTTTGAACTCTTGTCTATTTTTGGGGGCTGGGGAACCTTTTGGAGGTAGGGCTGACTGGTAGAAGTAGGTGGCTGAGGGCAGGATTTTGAAGGTTACAGACTGTCTGTGAAGGCAGTGTTCTTTGATGCCTGACCTGGATCTAAGCAAAGCACCTGTAAGGCCATGAACCTGCCCAAGTCTTCCCAGCAGAGTGGACTGAAACCTGAGCAGCAACAAACTGAGCCTTTCCCTCCTCCGCTCGTTTCTGATAGGCATCCCATTCACAACAACACAAAAGTAACACGCACACAACACTTTTCTGAAATTGTGTTGTGTATACATGTGTCTATGGACATGTGAGCTCTCAGACATGTATTGTTCACGTGTATAAATTTCAGAGGTTGACATCAGGTGTCATCCTATATCATTTGCCATTTTAGTTTTTGGGACAGGCACTTTACCAATCGAGCCATCTCCTGAGCCCCTAAACATTAAATAACAAAAGGCTGCACTTGGAAAAGATTATCTTTGTCTTCTTGCCCCATGTCCTCATATTTTGGTATAAACCTCTTCAGGGGGTACTAGGTGGTCACCTTGTCGTTGGCAACGGAAGTATCCTGTGTGTCGCTGACTACAGCCAGACATGTACTTGATAAGAGAACTTGCCTGATTTTCAATAACATTCCCTCAAGATGAGACAGTAATTGCTCTGCAGGAGTTCACAGCCCAAGGGGCCTCCCTTTTGGTGACTTTACAGTTTCTAAGGAAGTGCATGCCATTAAATGATCCCACCTTCATAAAGGCCAAAGCCCAGAAAAGAAATCTCTTGGAGAAATCTCTACTTGCTTTATAGAAAAGGTTCTGGTCTTAGTTAGGATTCCTATTGCTGTGAAGAGACACCACAGCCATGGCCATGGGCACTCTTATAAAGAAAAAGCATTTAATTGGGGCTTGCTTACATTTCAGAGGTTTAGTCCATTATTATCATGGCAAGAAGCAAGGCAGCACGCAGGCAGATTTGGTGCTGGAGAAGGAGCTGAGGGTTCTTACATCCAGCTTCTCACGCAAGAGGAAGTAGTCTGAGACACTGGGCATGGCTTGAGCATATATGAGATATCAAAGCCTGCCTCCACAGTGACACAGTTCCTCCAATTAAACCACACCTACTCCAACAAAGCCACACCTCCTAATAGTGCCACTACTTTTGGGGGCCATTTTCTTCCAAACCATCACAGCTCCCAAAGACCCATTTCTCACCTTGACTGTCTTTCAGTAGTGCTTAGTGAGCAATACAGGGCTGACCAAACCGCAGGTAAAGCCAAAGTGGAAGAGACCATAATCCAACTGTAAAGAGCAAAGATGAAGAAGTAAGTAAACATCCTCTGAGTGTGACTGATTGTATTTCTAGTGGATATTAAGATAGACATTATGTGAAGAAACCACATGGTCAAGCAAAACAAAATGAATTTTCCTACCACCCTCCAGTCAAGCCTCTCTTACCTGGATCTTGAGATTCTGCAAAAGCCATTTTGTACATTAAAAATGGCCCTGACTTCTGGGCACCTTAGGTGACCTATCCCAGCCAGACGGCTAGCCTAGGTTAAGTCCCAAGAGTGAGCAATAGAAAGTCATTGCAGCCTAACTGTTCCAAGCTTGATGCTGGGGTACATAGATCAAACACTGACAGGAGCATAAGGGACACAGAGAGTCAAGCCTTCCACACAACTTTGTTCGGCAGTACCCATTCTTTATGGGCAGGTGTATAGCAAGGAGCACGATGAGACATTCTAGAGTGTGTTTAATGTCCCCAAAGCAGGCTGCTGGGCTACTCTTTGGATCTTCCTTGCAGGGATGCTGCAGCAGGTGCTGCCTGTGGGACCCGGGCTGATGCCTGATGGAGATGAGAAAGCCTTTAAACGTTTGCCTTCCTTTAAAAAAAAAAAAAAAATCCTCATTGCTTCTCCGAGAGGTGCCCAGCTGGTGTTTATCCTCCACAGTAGCGCATCAGGTTATTTATCGTCCTATTTCGTGATGTATTTTATAAAGTCATGAATGGTTCATTAAACTAAGTTTGGGTATCAGTCTCCTGACAGCCACCTACTCAACTTAGCGAGTGGGGGAGGGGTCCTGGAGGCCATTGGCATGGGTTCCAGCCTCGCAGCCTCCTTTCTCCACCCCCTTCCCCTTCTGCCCTCCCTCCCCCGCATCCCTCCCCCTGGTTATTTAGGAGATTAGAGTTCATTAATTAAATCCTGTGCTTAGATCGAACTGTAACACTATTCCAATCACATTTATCTTGCAGGCGGCAGCGGAGATGGCAACCTCCCTGGAAACGCGCGGGGGAGCCTGAGTCGGCAGCTGGAGACGCACTGCTCTGCGTGCTCCATCGCCCCGCCGCCTCGCAGACCCTCCATCTTCCTGCTCAGTTCCGGGCCAGGCTCGCCCCTGACCCCGGGGTGGGGTGGGGGGGCGGCTCCCGCTTCTCCCGGGGCTCCAGGTGGTTCCCCACCCCCTGCCCTCCGCGACTCAACTGCCTGGGTCCCCCCTCCCCCGCCACACACACTCACACGCGCCCGCGAGCACACACGCACGCACACACACACACTCACACGCCAGCAGGCTGCTGGCCGCTCAATGGACCGATTTCCCCGGTTTCCCTGAACCCAGCCTAGCCCGGGATGAGAAACTGCAAAATGGCCCGAGTCGCCAGTGTGCTAGGGCTAGTCATGCTCAGCGTGGCCCTGCTGATTTTATCGCTTATCAGCTACGTGTCCCTGAAAAAGGAGAACATCTTCACCACTCCCAAGTACGCCAGCCCGGGGGCGCCCCGAATGTACATGTTCCACGCGGGATTCCGGTGAGTGTGGGCCTCTGTTTGAGTGCCCTCGGGTATCTCGGGTCGGTGGTGTGTTTGGGGGACAGTCAGAGAAAGGTGTTTGGGCTTCTCGTTAACTGCGTGGTCCTTTCTCTCTTTTTCCTGCTTCTCCCTTCCTTGTCTACTTTATTTTTTAACCCAAAGCCCCCTAAAAGCCTTTGTCCTAATCGATGTGATTGAATTTCTCCTATACCTCTGCGTTCCCTTCCCCCCCACCAATTTCAAAACTGAGGTGTTGGTGAGAGAAAGAGAGAGAGAGAGAGAGAGAGAGAGAGAGAGGCGATGATGTTTGGACGGCGGGAGGGTTTGTTGAACCCTGGTTTGTTGAACCCTGAGATGGGCAAGGCAGGAGGTGGGCGCCCTGGCTGTGCTAACGGCGGGCTCCGAAGGCCTGGCGGGGCGATTTAATGGCGCAGGCGCCAACTGCTCTTACACCCCTTCCCTCCTCCCCTTTCTCATCTAATGATGCGCAGGTTTATTCTCTTGAAGCCCCTAGGGCTTTTTCCTCGACCCTTCCCCCGCTGCCACCCGCCTCCTCCTTTCCTGGATTTCTGCAATTCTTCGGCCCCTGCGGGAAGCAAGCCTTCTGCTGAGGGCCGCCCACCCTCGCCCGGTCGAAGTCACCGCGGGGCGCAGCTCGGGCACAGCTCATCTGGAGCCCCACCCCTACCTGTGCCCGCAAGGAGCTCTCCCCACACAGCTTCCTGATGGGCGGGTGGTAACCACAAGCTGTACCCAGGGAGTCATGCTGGGCCGGGGATGTGGAACCTGAAGAAGCCAGGCCTGGACAGAAGAGCCTGGCTGTAGGCAGCCTCTTGGGGTCTCCAGCTAAGGGCTGAGGGTGCAATCAGACTTAGGCTCGGGAAGGAAAAGGTTAAGGCTGGAACCCCCACCCCCACCCCCTTTGCCCGAGTCTCGAATTTCTTCTGCCCTTTCTCCAAAAATCAATTCACAGAGACGGGGCCAGGGTAGCCAGGTCCGGCTGGCGATGGCTGCTGTCCGCGGTGCTGACTCAAAGTCCCCGCCGCGCCGCCGACAGCAGCCCTGCATCCGGCTCTGACCCTGGATGTCTGCGTGACCGCCATCTTTTTTATGGTCTCTCTTACACCCGGAGGGCTGGACAATGAGGAAGAGTTTCCCTTTTTCTTCCTTTCTTCCGGGTGTGTGTAAAAGCAGAGAATGTGCCAAAGGAGAGGGACTGTGCCGTGGGCCTGCCCCTATGCCAGCTGCCCCCTCCGGTTGTGGCTGGAGTTGTCACTGCTCCCTGGGTTTCCCTTGCTGAGGCCAGAGTCTATATGAACTCATGCTCCTCTTTAGGTCACAGTTTGCGCTGAAGTTTCTAGACCCGTCATTTGTGCCCATTACGAATTCTCTCAGCCATGAACTCCAAGAGAAACCTTCTAAGTGGACATTTAATCGGACAGCGTTTTTACATCAAAGGTAGGATAGGGAGAGAGGTTGGTTTTAATTTTGTTGTTGCTTTTAAGTTTGAAACTCAATAAAACAAACAGCACGAAAACAAAGCCAAAACCGTCACAAAGTAAACAAAAACAAGCTACACCTCACTTCACCCACCTGCACCCATATGGGCTTTGTCCTCTCCTAAAAGCAAGAGGAGATGATGAGTAGCCATCCTCACAAATGTTTGCTGTGCCCTCAGGAAGGTTCAGGATGGTCAGCATCCTTCCGAATTTGGTCTTCACTGAGCACCATGATTTCAAGTCTGGATGCACCAAAGTTGTCTATTTTTAAATATATATATATATATATATATATATATATATATAAAAGGGTTCATTGCAAACAGATAATCCTCTACTTTTTAAAAAACATGTTATTGTACAATCTTATTGAAACACAGAAAATATAATGCAGCCTTATGGCATCCCTAGTGGAGATGCCGGCCTAAATATATGTATGGAAGCGTGATTTTGTTTGAGTTTTGCCTGTTTGTTTTCAGTAAGGCCTTCCCAGCTTTAGTGGTTGTAGTAGACTTTTTCCACAAGAAGAAGCTTTGTCATTATAGTTTGGTTTTGTTTGGGGGAGGGGGGAGGAGATTAATGAAATCTCAGTGGTCCTGGTTTTAGAACCATAGCCTCCCGCCCCCCATGGTGGGATTGCTATACCACTCCATGCAATGTGAGCCATCTAGTGTATTCATTAGCGCTGTGAAGACGTGCTTCACAAACCGGCGAAGGAGCTGTGGTTTTGCTCAGCTATTTATTGTCACTGTACTTTTTGAAAAATTATAATCTACTAGCAGAATCAGAAGAAACACATGGTTTCAGAAAACAAATGTTGGGGTGCTTCTGAAAAATTGTTATAATCATAGGATTATGATCACAACTAAGTATTTATGCTTAATTATAAACTAGCTTGTGGCCATTAATTGTAAACCACGGAAGTGCTTTTCAGCTCTGGCCTTTGGGATTTTCATCTAAATTTAATTTTGCAGACAGTCCAGATAGTTTTCATGGTAGAACACCTTACGCCAGTCCACACCAAACGCATCTCTAACTCGATTACAGTGTTTTTCTACACTGGGCCAGGTATTCCTAGCTATCAAGCCAAAGAACGCTGCCTTCTCAAAGCTTTCTGCTTTTCAAGCGATTTCGTAGGAAACCTTCAGTGAGTTTCAGCAGTATCATCTGAAGTTGCCTTTACAACCGCTGTAAGAACTGTGCTGCTAAGGAAAACTGAGCCGGCTGTGCCAGTCTGCCTTGTCCTAGAATCTGATAAGATTTCTTGTCCCCCTGCTGTGGTTTCTACAGAAGGCACGGGAGTTTCACTTTGTCTTCTTGACCCCGGAGAACGCGAAGCCAAGTGGCATGTTACCTGTCTCTGGACTACTTTAAGTACCCGAGACTTAAGAGGTAACAGTTATACAGGGAGCTCCATGTCAAATCCAGCTGAAGTCAATTCTAAGTATCACTTTTCTCTTGGGATTTTTTTTTTAAAAAAAAAATTGATTACCTTAAATTTGACTTAAATTGTAATTCCATATAACCAAACAGAAAAATAGATCCATGCTTCATTATTCAGCAGGCCTTAGTGAGATTATCATCTCGTTTCTAATAAGTATTTGGCCATACCTGTTAGGTTGGGAACGTAGGCCCCAGCCCCTCGCATCTATCCCAGCCCCCAGGCCTGGTCTGGACTTCAAATCCCAGCAGGCCAGGTCCTTACCCCACACCCAGAGCGCAGATCTCCCATTAAACCTGAATATTTCTTAATTTGGCTTGTTTCGATTTGGCTTGATTGGGAATTTTTGCGTTGTCAGGGAGCTAATATTAGGAAATATTCCTAACAATACCCACTGCTCGTCCAATTCTCATATTTTAATGATAGTACTGTACTATGTTCCAACCCGTATCTATTTAGTTTGTATTTGGACACTGTAGTATTTTATATTCCTGAGCACTACACTCCAATAGCAAACAAGTAGTCCCTAGTTACAAAGCCAAAGTCACCAATGTTTGTGCATTAATGTGAGCTCTTTGAGGCCTGTGTAAATTGTCTCCCTGCATTTTCTAACACAGTTTGGCATCTGCCTCCTCTTAATCAAATATGCTCTCTGAGTAGACCGGAATACCAAGAAACAGTGGTCAAACTGCACATTGAATTTACTAACATCCAAAGATTACCTTCAGAACTTGACAGATATATTGTCATGCCTTTACATTATAAAAAAACAGTCCACCCTTTGGAGTCCACAAATATGAATGTATGTTCATACTTGAATTGAGTGTGCTTAAGATTTGTGTCTGACTTAAGTAGAAGCATAAGAAAGAAACTTGGTTCTTTTGAATGGAATGCATTTAATGAATCTCTTTTTATTTTAGGCAAGAAATTCTTCAGCATGTCGATGTAATAAAAAATTTTTCTTTGACCAAGAATAGTGTTCGGATTGGCCAACTGATGCATTATGACTATTCCAGCCATAAATATGTTTTCTCTATTAGCAATAACTTCCGCTCACTGCTGCCAGACGTGTCGCCCATTATGAATAAGCGTTATAATATTTGTGCTGTGGTGGGCAACAGTGGAATCTTGACAGGCAGTCAGTGTGGACAAGAAATAGATAAATCAGATTTTGTTTTTCGATGCAATTTTGCCCCTACGGAGGCTTTCCAAAAAGACGTTGGGAGGAAAACCAACCTCACAACCTTCAACCCCAGCATCCTGGAAAAATATTACAACAATCTTTTAACCATTCAGGATCGTAACAACTTCTTCCTCAGTTTAAAAAAGCTGGATGGGGCCATTCTTTGGATCCCTGCATTTTTCTTCCACACTTCGGCAACTGTAACCAGAACATTAGTTGACTTTTTCGTTGAACACAGAGGTCAGCTAAAGGTCCAGTTGGCTTGGCCTGGAAACATAATGCAACATGTCAACAGGTGTGTATATTTTATTACATTTAACTCATATCCCACCAGATGGCAAATCAATATTGTAATCTCCTGGGCATGGGAGCTATCCAGTTCACTAGATGTTGCGGTTGGTTTAGTTCTTGAGGAAAACTCTTATCTTTTTAATGAATGAATGAATTATTCTAGTTAAAAAGTTCCATGTATCCCTAACTGGTAACCAAGTGCTAAATGAAAAGACTGTTTATCACTCAACCCATTTTATTTTTCCTTCCCCTCCTTAGTGTACAGTCACAGAATTGCCACAAAGCAAGAACCACCCTTGTGCAAATAGGTATATCCCGGTAACACCAGTGCCTAAATCGTACAAAGCAATTTTTAAAGAAAATAACAATTTAAAAAGAAAAAAGGATCATTGACTTTAAATATCATTTTTTATGTTCAGGTGTTTGTAGGATTGAGAACCCCCTGGATAAGTCATAAATGGCATAATCTGCTTTGTGATAAAATGTTTACATACTTAAGGAGCTCTGTGTTGTGCCTTATGGCTTGACAAGGAGATTGGGTGAAGATACAGCATTTTCATCTAATCCAGCAGCTTTCAGTTCTGGCTGTTTATAAAAATTGGTATTTTAAAACACACTCTTACTACCTTGACTGTGCTTGACACTCCCTCAGTGTGGTGAGGGGAGCAAGGGACAAGCACTTGGTGTGTTCTTAACAGCTTCTCAGATCATTCCAATATGCAGTCAGAATGAAACAACCATCCAGGGCCATTTTAAAGGAAAGATCACGTGTAGAGCTTTTTCTTTGATTTGTCTGAGCATTGCCTCAACTCCTATGCCCTCCTATGTAAGGAACCCAGGCATCACATCAGGCACAGATCTTATTATCAGTTCAAGTGGGTTCTAGAAGAACCGGTATCTAGATGGGCATGCTCTAATAGATAGTCCCTTCCTGTTATTTCCTAAAATCTTCCAAATTTATGATACGTTTAGTTGAACTTCCATTGAAAGAGAACTCGTGGTCTAGAAAATTAATGTCTCCACAAGGAAAGGCAATTGTACTATCTATAGCCCAAGCTGAGGCCTTCTCTTTGAGAAGGTGCGTGTGGAGAATAATTGCAAGGGTAACATACACACCCTGGTACCGTTTCCAAGAATGAAGAGGTAATAGAACTTGACTCCAATATTTAATGACTGAATACAGCCCAAGGTTGTTACTGAAAAATGGGGAGAACCCAGGTCATCTACCAACCTATCCCAAATATCTGACTTCATCGTTTTGTTCCCTTCTGTTCCATTTTTATTCAATTTTCATGACATTTCAAATCTCATCTAGAAGGGAACAGGCCAAGGTAATAGGGTTCGAAAGTGTTTCTCTCCATGAAAACTAAACAGTCTAGACAAATCTAGCTCGCAGCCCTGCCTATTAGCTTAGCTGACTGAAACCTTCAGCACCCGCCACTGAATCTACATGTACTTATCGTTTCCAGGTACTGGAAAAACAAACACTTGTCACCCAAACGACTGAGCACAGGTATTCTCATGTACACTCTCGCATCGGCAGTCTGTGAAGAGATCCACTTGTATGGATTCTGGCCCTTTGGATTTGACCCCAACACAAGGGAGGATCTTCCATACCATTACTATGACAAAAAAGGAACCAAATTTACCACCAAGTGGCAAGAGTCGCACCAGTTGCCTGCTGAGTTTCAGCTGCTGTACCGAATGCATGGCGAAGGGCTCACCAAGCTCACTCTGTCACACTGTGCCTAAGAACTCCAAACGGAAAGTGCCAAATGGCTGTTTTAAAAGTGCCCCCCCTAAAAAAAAAAACCAAATTGAATAGTCTCCAGAATAGAGCCCCAAAGACAATCTGGTTAAGCTTGTCTGCCTCTCACACGGAAGGACGTCTCCTCTCCCTCGTCAGCTCTTTGATCGGTCTTAGAAGACTTAGGACAGGTGCGGTGAAGCCACAGGCGTTAGACTTGATTGGTAAAGGTGAGGTTGTATTGGGAAGTATGCTGCACAGCGAATGACTTGAAGTAGTCCCACATTTGTATTTTAATAATAAACTGACTCCCATGTGGATGAGCTGCCCTCGTCCCATCCGTGGCTGCCGTCTCCTCAGCCCTGCTCCGATATAGTCCTCGTAATCAGAGAATTCTGGCCAGTTTCAGCGGGATCGCCTTTGCCAGGGGGATCAGAGACTTCAAAAACAAAAGCAAAAATCTGGTTTGCAGATTGTTCTCTCTCTCTCTCTCTCTCTCTCTCTCTCTCTCACACACACACACACACACACACACACACACACACACATACACACACATTGTTCCTGTTGCTCTACTACCACTGAATTTAATAATTTGTTAGGAATAGCTCTGGATTATCTTTGCTTGTATATGTTTGCATCTGTACTTGATTGTTCAAGTCTCTGGGCGACTTAGGTGGTTCATGACAAACTGAACAAATTACGATGACTTCCTTTGTGATGAATCTTCTAAGAAATGCCTCTTATCAAGTTCTCTCTTGTCCACACTGTTATTCTATGGCAGGGTGGTCTATGTGGGTAGAGTGGCATGTGCCTCTTTTTCTGTCGCCAAGAAAGCCCATGCTGTGTGTGGCATTGCATCTGCTGGCATGAGTGCAGATATGGCAGGTCCAACAAGGGCTTTCTAGCCTGGTCCTTCCACTATCTTGGCTCAAGCATTGAGCTTGGCACTCTCTCAAAACAGAGAGGCATTGAGCTAACTTAAAAACCCGGGGAATGTGAAGGAAAGAGAAGAAGCCTATTTGCAAGTTATGCACTCTATAAAGCGGTGTGAGAAAAGAAGCCAGAGCTTCTTGTCTGTGTGGCTAATGTTAGCATTAGTCAGGTCAGATCCTTTCTGTGACATCCCCACCAACAGCCATCTAGACCTGCTTGCTTTCTTTGAGACCATTGTAGATACTATTCTCTGTTTCCTCTGAAATCAAGACTGTGTGCCTATACATTGAGTGTCTCAAAAAGAAAAGCCATTACGCAATGGCAAGACTTGGTCCTAAATAACCTTTGGAATCTGAGATCAGTTGGCCATTGTTCTCAGTGTCTCAGCTGTATCAGTAGAAATCACATCTCTCCCATCCCAGGCTTTTACACTGAGCAGCACTTTGTTCTTCCAGTTCAACCCAAAGTCTGGCCAAGTTGATGTTAAATTTTAATAGGAGTTTCTCTCCTCTTCCCAAGTGCCTGTGGAGCACATTTGTCATCGGCTCCAGCGGTACAGCTCTTTCTTTTCCAGAAATCTCATCTAGATTGCTAACAGTGTTGTAAACCCTTTTGAAAATTGTTGCTATGGTTCAGTCCTCGGTGCACCGTCCCTCTTTGGGAAGAAACAACCGGGCCTACAAAGAAGGGCAATAAGGAGGCACATAGTCCTTATGCTCCCTGGTCCTGAAGCTGTGTTGTTCTTTGGGAGAAGCTAAATCTGACGCAGATACAATCTAGTGAAAGAAAACCATTCAGATCCCAACACAATACCAACGGCGGCACATCTTACTCTCTGTGAATGGCAATCGTTCAGACAGATGAAAGGAAATAAGGGTAAATATTTTGAAATAAGAAGTGTTAACGATACACAGAATAGTAAAAAAATTAAAATTATAAGCCATTTTGATAATACTTTTAAATTCAATGATAATTTTATGGGCATGAAAACCACACCATGACTGTTTTCTGTCACTTTAACCACACCGTGGCTGTGTCCTTTCTCTTTAAACCACACCATGACTGTGTCCTTTCTCTTTAAAAAGCATGGGACACCAAGCAGCTACTCTCCAGCCATGATAGGTTTGAGTCATGGAGAGACTGATAACCGGCAGAATTGCATTCATTGTCATCAGTATTGAAAGACTTGGCTAGTTCTGAGCTCTTAGTTCATTTGGTTGGAGCTCAGGGATATTAATGCTGAGATTATCCAGGCCCAGTTCTGACTCCAGAGCTTTAATCTCAATGTGCCCATTAGGTCTTACTAAATATAAATTCAGACTCTTTGCACTGGACAAGATGAAGTACCAATAAACCAGAAAATCCCCAAAGCTAGTTCATCATTTCAAGATAGCCTATTTAAATTCGATCTCATCAGAACATTGTGGGTTTTGTTTGTTTTTAATTTGGGGAGGATTTTTAAATCTTACCACAGACTTGTTCCCTAAGTTTAGACTAAGAAATCCTTCCTGTCATCTACTGTTGCTTCCACTATACATTGAACAGGAGTACAAAATAGTAGGAAAATGGGCTTCTCTTCAGAACCAGAAGGGTTTGGAGGCTAGTGCATCCCTGCCTCTAAGAAGGATTTCTCGAGATGATCCCCACATTCTGTTTATAATATAACAACAACAATAATAGATCATCTGAAAAAATTCCAATATAACCTCAAATTTACAATGCTAAAGATTCCTTTACAATGTAGATCCCTTCTATTTAAAAAATAAAAAACAATAGGTACAAAATGTTGGCAAAATATTGCCGTTTTCCCTGTATGGTAAAGGCCTTTCTGGCTATTACTGTCAGTTGTACCCTTGGCCGCTGTCATGACGGGAAGGCTCCCTTATCAGGAAGGCAGTCAGCACTTGTCAGCGCTCCCACTGTCCCCAGGCTTGTAGGCTCAAGGGCAGTGGACAGAGCAGAGGGACCGATGGGTTTTCTGTCTGTGCAGCTACACATTCATACTCCATCCTCCTTTGTCGGCCTCACTTGGTTGGGTCTGGTTAGTATATTTTTCTATTAGAAACAGTCTCATTTTTTTGGCTACTTAGAACAGAGTACGCCATCAGATATGGGAATAAAGGTCACCACAAAGCCCCCAAGGATGTCTGAAAATGACTACGTTACAGAGGAGAAAGGGAAATCCACAAACCCCTGGCAGCCCGCTCATTGTTAGACCTGTGGTCTCATTCTTTGTTCTTTGTGTCGTGTGGATCCTGGGAGACAGGGTCAAAAGATTGTTTTCATGGCTCCCTCCCACACCCAGAAATTGGGGGTTTCTGTGTGAGTATATGGAGTTCGGGATCAAACCCAGCACCTTGCACGTAGTAGACAAATTCTCCATCGTTGGTCTGAGTTCCCAGACTGTGTTCTTATGCTAAGTAACTTTAACCATTATAAAATGCAGTGTGTTTAGTAGTACCGTGTGTCCAGCAATGCTGAATATGGCCATCTGTCTCTGACCTAAACATCAGACACCTGAACATAGGCTACCGCATGGATGTGTAAAGGAAGACCCCACTCACTATCCAGCCTCCTGATGCCAAGGCTATCAGTGCTGATGAATGTGAGTGCCTAGACAAAAACAATGTTTTAGGAAATTCGGTTGATATAAATACATGCTTCCCAACTTCAGGTAAGGCATCAGACCCGCAGGCAATCGCTCAACGGCCCCATGGAAACGGGAGTAATAGAAAGGGAGGGGCCTTTGAGCTTCACTAGCCCTTCTTGACTTTGCAAATATGAAAGTTGAGATGCAGAGACACTTAGCAATTTTCCCCAAAATGTACATAGATAATTATTGAAGAGGTTATAATTTCACATCTTTAACTTATTGATATGGAAAATATACTCAAACAAAAACAGTTTGGATCTAGTATCTTTGGAGTACAAATGTAATGGATAAGGCCTGTAAGGGAGGAAAGTGAAAGATCACTAAATGTACCTGGCTGGGTACACAGCAGCAGCAGAGGACGCAGTTGCCCAGTCCATAGCAGACTGCTGAAAACCACCCACTCGCCCTTAAAATGAGAGAAAAGCCACTTGCTCTAGCATTGTCTGATAAACCCCAGTTCCGTTATTGATGATATCGCGCTGACAGCTGAAAATGTACCTGATAATATATTCATTTTAATAAAGTCTTGTTTTAATAATGTGTATGCATGATTTAGAAGACCAAGGCTGGAAGTGACTGTGCACTCTTCCTTGTATATAACTTTCAGCAGGGGCCCCTGGAGTCAAGAAATATTTTCCACGTTGTAACTGCAGCAACAGACTTCGAATTATCGCATTGGTTTAATTCGCTAAGACTGTACAAAGCGTAGTGAAAAACTTTGGTGGTTCTTCATTCCTTTCCAGTGACATTCTGAGAACGTTTCTGTATAGTTCTGGGTCCTCAAAGCCTTCTTTCTCATAACTGTTTGAATGCCTCAGGCAAACATTTGCTTAGCTTCTATTACTTCCCAGATGTGTATAACTGACCTTTTGACTACCGAGTCAGGGCTGTGTATGTGTGTTTGAAGAGTTCTGATGGGACATCACGGGTGCTGAGGATAGAGGGCATCTTGGCCAGTCTGTCTAGGCCACTGTATCTGTGGACCATTTCATCAGGGCCACTGATGAGTTGATACCAAGGACCAAAATGGCTAATCCTGCCTCTCTCACCCTCTGACTGCTTTGCCACAAAATATAACATTTCAAATGGAAAATGTTGTAGAATGTTATTATTTGCTATGTAATATTTCTGAACATGTATTTTTATTGTGAAGATTTGTTAAAGATATGTGCGGCTGAATAGATGTTTTAATCCTTGGTGACGCCTCTTCTCTTATTGTCAGAATCAGCGAGGAGTCTGCTGCTGAGTAGCTGACTCTAGTCTCACATGACAGTGGGGTGCTAGGATTAGGACCTGGTGGGTTCCAATGATGTATCAACAAGGTACCTATTGAGAAACACCTTGAGATAGGATTCTTGCTCCTCAATCCTCATTTTGAATCATTATATCCTGAGATAAGTCCAACCTAAAAAAAAAAAAAATCCCAGACTGGTTCTGATGTGACATATGGAAACTAAAAGAGTATTTCACAGTCAAATATACAACTTTGACCAGAACAGCTGACTGCTAATCATTCCTTTCATCATTAGTATCAAATATTCCTTAAAGTGATGGCGGCACATGACAATATAGACAAAGTCTTAATGACTCAACCATCCACTTCTAGTCAAGCTAATTTCTGCTCATTTTTAAGTGCATAGTAATTTTTCAGTGTAGTCGTAACAGATACAAACTGGCAGACAAAGTGAGGAGTCTGGTTTTAGTACTTTCCCCCAAGGCTGGTTCTTTATATTTCACTCTGTTTCAAACAAAGAGGCAAAATCTCAGGTTATTCATCTTTATAAATGGACAAACCAAAAAACAGAGAAGCTAAATGATACATTCAGATTCACTTTGGGATTCATTCCCAGAGGCTAAAG